GCCGCTTCTCCTCTCTCACCCCCTCGTCTGGTCCTCACGGTCTCCGCCGCCACAGACAGTGACGCTGCCCCGCCCGACCTCCAATGACCCCACATCCCAGCTGGAGGCACTCCCCGAGGGTCTGCAAGGCTACAGGCTGCCCTGCTCTGACCACCTCCACTCCTCTGCCCTCGCCTGCCCCAGCCCAGGGCACTTGCTCTCTGGTTGCTGCTGCCCCAGGGCATTTGCACGGGCTGTCCTCGCTGGTCTTTGCTCAAGCGGCACCTTCTCCTGGGGTTTCCCCTGATGTCTCTCTAAGGGTTGCACACCAGCCTCTCCCTCTTCTGTGGTGCTTCGCTTCTCTCCTCAGCGCTTACCACCATCCAACACGCAGTTTACCTGTTGCTTATCCTCGTCTGACCTGCTCTGTAAAGCGTGGAGTTGAGAACAGGAGCTCGCCACCGTCCTCACCACACAGATACATAAACGCAAATAATCTCAACTAGAGTAAATCACCAGGAAGTGGTGAGCTTTGAGTATTTATTACCTTTGCTTTTAGTATAATTGAATTGTAAGTGCATGCGGTTTATTTTTAGTAATAGCTCTCGTTCACAACTGGTGCACAAAATTCCTGAAAATTTCAAAACTGGCTCTTGCCAGCTGGAGTGGTCCAGCTTCAGGTGCTGCTGTGGGGGACACAGCAGGCCTGATTTCATCGTGGGTGCCTCTCAGCCCGGGCCCCGCGAGGGGGGAGGGCGTCCTGGGCCCTCTGCAGGGCAGGGGGACCCTCTGGCCCGGCTTCAACCCGTCCGAGTCAGGAGTCCAGTCCAGCTGAGACGAGCTGTGGCCGCCACCCCCGGGTCTGCGCTCAGACCCGCCTCCTGCTCTATGGCTCTCCCTGCAAAGCAGAGCGTTCTGTGTCCCACATTTCTTGTCCTTCGGCTCCAGATGGCGTCAGCCAAAAGGATATGTTGGAAAATTGGAGGGTGGGGAGAAACCAGGGTGTTTCCCTCCCCATCTCTGGCTTTAGGGTTCTTTCTGGAAGTGCCGTGTCTCGTCCATCCGTCCTTCTGGCTGTGGCTCCTGGCTCTAGTTACACCACCCCCTCCAGGTCCCTTCAGCCGATGGAAGATGAGTCCCTGGGATGCCTCAGCCCTTCCGTAACTTGTGTGATCAATCCCTGGTCTCAAATTCCCTTTGTCTGACAGATGGGATGCAGGCTGGTACAGTAGGGGTGGCCTCAGCCATGGGCCAGCGGTTGGAAAACAAGACAAAGAAGAAACACTGTCCCTAAGGTAAAGGAAGTATGAACAGGAGGGCCAAATGGTTTAGGGGGCCGGGATGGCTTCAGTACCGTCCGTGGATGGCGTTAGTGGTTATTCTGAACCCAGGATTACAGAGGCGGGGGTCAATGAATGTGCATGTCACCATGAATTAGAAAGCTCTGTGAACTTGGCCCCAGACAGAGGCACTCCTGGGGTGCAGGCAGGGGTCTCGACCAGCAGGGACGTCCCACCAGCCATGGCCAAGTGTTGACCACAAAACTGCAGGTACCCTTCCCAGGGGCACCACCAAGTGGCTGCCCCACACACAGCAGCATGGAAACCATGGTCCACCTTCAACTCTCTTTCCAGCTGACGTTTGGGTGGGGACTCTTTGCATGGAGTTACCCCCAGGATTCTTGGGCGGTTCTTCTAGAAAAGGGCGATCCTCACGAGGGATACACCTGCTCATGAGGCAGGTAAGGACTGCAGGGAATAGACATAAGCGTGCTCCAGGGCCACGTATTAGGATGAAGGCCACTCGGGTCCGATAGACGGCTGCCTCCCGCTAGGAGACCGTGGACGGCGCTGGGCCGCGATGGGCTGACTGACAGTCCCGCTGCCCGTGGACCCAGCTCAGCACCTTTGTCCTCACGTGTCCTGGTGCCAGACAGGACCCTGACAGAACACGCAGGGTTTCAAAACACGGGAACTCACCCCCTTCAAGGGGGTGAGAGGTTTGTCAAGACCTTGAGAAGCAAGTTTCCAAGTGTCAGCATTTCATGGGATCCTGTGTGGGCTGCAAACCAGCCGACTCTGATGGGAGTGTCAATTTGCCCAATGAACTGTACCACAAGTGAGGTTTAAAAGTTCGAGCCTGTGATATTTCCTATTTTAAACCACAGGCAATGCACTCTGCGTGCTAATGGCCGCTACCTGTCATAATTTCACTTAAGAAACTTCTGTATTCCTGCAGACCAGTCCTTGGCTAGAGACTGGCTTTTAAGGCTTCACTCACGGCCAGTTTTATTGCCTCCATCATCGTCTTAAATTTGGGGGAAAATCTGGAATAGAGAGAGGGTTTGGGGGACTTGGGTTAGAGCTGGTGGAATTCTCTGCTGAGAATGGAGAAATTGGGACACTTCAGAGCTCTCCCAGCAGCAGGAAGCAAGGAATTGGAGGAATGGGGTCAGGATCCCCAAGGAAGGAGAAGCAGAAGAGGGTGCCCGGTGGGCAGGGCACGGGGGGAGGGGCACGTGCCACTGGGCTCGGGATGGAGGACAGTGAAGTGTAGATTCATTACTTCACCCCAGGGCAGGGGGGCCATGGATGCATCACCAACACGCCCCCTCAGACTCCGAGGGAAGGCCAGAGCCCTCACTCTCCCCAGAGACCCAGAGTTCGCTTCTGTAACTGAGCAGAACCCTGTGTGGCCTTCTTGGGACAGACCCCCTGCCCCTGCCATGGCCTCCGCCTGCCTCTTGTGTGCAGAAAAACTTAGCCTCCTAGGCCTTCCCCAAGTTTCAAAGAATAAATTTAATCAGAGAAATGAGAAAATGCAAAAAGAAAGGAAAATAGTCAAGCAAGACTGTAATAGTTTAGTCATTAAACAAAGTCAAGGACCTTTAGTTCCTCCTCAAGGGCTGCAGATACTATGCTGAGCCGTGTCCTTGAGCTGTTCTGCGGATACCGAGACCCCCACCAGGTGGAGGAAGTTAACTCTATGCTGCCCACAAGCACGTAGACCCCAGACCGGCGGGAACCAGAAAGTTGATGGTGTTGACTCCCGATTACCTCACCACCAACCAATCAGAAGAATGTCCACAAGGTGGCCATGCACCTGGAAACCTCCTCCCTCACCCTGTCTCTTCCTTCCCCTGAAAGCCCTCAGGGAGTGCGGGGCTTTTGAGCACTATCTACCCGGACTCCTTGCTCGCTCCCTGCAGGAAACGCTGCCCTTCCCTTCACCACAAACCCGCGTCAGTAGATCAGCTTTGCTGTGCGCAGGCGGCCGGACCCAAGTTTGGTTCAGAAACACTTCTGCTTCTTTCATATCTTCCAGGAAAATTTTCATCTCTTCTTTGGGGAAAATTCCCCCACGAGAGATAAGATCCCTGGCACTACCAGAAGGGACTTTTCCTCTCCCAGAAACAGGCACTATGGGATTAATGACTGAGAGGCAGGGAGCAAGAGGGGGGAGCCCGGGAGGTGTGGGGGATGGACTGGCTCCCCGTCTTCTGGAAGGATGGGTTGCCTGGCCACAGCACAGTGAGAACAGGTAGGATCTTCAAGCCCCCCAGCTTGAAGCCCTGATGTCTGGAAACCCTGCCAGCCTGCTTTCCGGGTTACTCTATACGAATGGGGAGAAACTTGGAAGTTACTGATGGTGCCCACAATTTCTGTCCCTGGGAGACCACCAAAGGGGCCAGGAGACCCTGTGCATGGGGTGGGGGGAGCTAGGTGGGTTGGCTTTCGGGAGCTTGGCATCCCATCTACTGTTCATTTCCATGGCTGGGTGAGCCAAGCCCTGGGGCCCCTCACCGTGGCACAGCTGAGGCCTTCCACCATCAGACAGGAGGCAGGAGGAAGCAGCTAGGATTGGGAAGAAGCTAGCTTGGCACTGGACCTGATGGGGGAAAGGGACAGGCAGAACTTTTTGTCCTGCAATTTTTTTTTTTTTTTTGCGGTATGCGGGCTTCTCACTGTCGTGGCCTCTCCCATTGTGGAGCACAGGCTCCGGACGCGCAGGCTCAGTGGCCGTGGCTCCCGGGCCCAGCTGCTCCACGGCATGTGGGATCTTCCTGGACCGGGGCACGAACCCGTGTCCCCTGTATCGGCAGGCGGACTCTCAACCACTGAGCCACCAGGGAAGCCCTGTCCTGCAATTTTAAGTGCAATCTTGAGAGGACCTCCTGGAGGCTCTGGGACAGCCCTGGTGGGGGTGTGCTGCTTCTCAGCTCCAGCCCTGGAGTGTGAAAGCCGCTGTGGACAGTACATAAACCGAGGGGTGTGGCCGTGTGCCAATAAAACTTTATTTATAAAAATAGGCGAGGGGCCGCGGGTCATCGTTTGCTGACCCCTGCCTTAGAGCAACACAAGAGGTGCCTGGCCCCGGGTGAGCCGCTAGAACAGGGTTCCTCCCTGGATGGCCGACCAGCTCTGGCTCCTGTGGGCGAGACATCAGGTCTGTACGGTTTAATCACTCTTTACTGGACTGAAGCAGTCACATCAGTCTCCTCGCACAAGCACTGCCGGGGGTTGTCTTTGAGGCCACGGCAGCTGCTGTCCCCATCCCCCCTCACCAGCCAGGGAGAGCCTAGCTCCGCTCGGTTTAGATGGAGGTGGTCACCGGGGCAGCCCCGCCAAAGGGTGGAGAGGTCAGGAGCTCGGAGTTCACAGGGGGCTATTGCTGCCTGGGGGATGGACGGGAGCTTCAGCACATGCAAGGAGGTGGCCACTGGCGGCTCGACAGGAATACCGTAGAAAAGGCACGTGATTCAGGTCTGGAGTTGGCGGTCAGCTGACGCGCTCAGGCAGAGCCGCCAGCTGCGGGGGGTCCGCGCTCCTGGAGGGGGAGAGGTCCCCATGTCCCCATGTCCCCAGGGCCCGCCGGCAGCTGAGAATAGGTCCCCCCCCCCCGAGGGGATGCAGGCACGGCCAGGGCCCTCTGGGTTCCAGTGGTAGGCTGAGTGGGAGGGGCCCCACGCCTGCCCCAGGTCCTCGGGGTCTGCGCTGGGGCGGGGGCACAGGGTGAGCCTGGGGGTCAGTGCCGCCCTGGCTTGATCCAGTTTCTGATGGTCCACTTCTGCCCTGAGCACCTCTGCACCACCAGCCGGAGCCCAAAGTTGGCGTCCTTGGACATCTCCACCTCCAGGCACCGGCCTGTGTCTCTGCTCACGATGGGACCGCCCTGCACGGGAGGGAGACCCAGTCAGCCCGGGGGTCCCATCGCAAAAGCTTCCAAGGAGTGGGGGTGATACCAAGGCCAAGCGGGTCACTGCACGGCCACCTGAGACTCGGGGTCCTGACTCTCCCAGTCCCTCTGTCCCCCATCCCTCAGTCCCTCCTGACCCCCTATCCCCCATCCCTCTGTCCCCCAATCCCTCTGTCCTCTCGCCCCCGCCCCCGTCAGCCATCTCCCTTCTCCTGGAGTCCCAGGAGTGATCAAGACAGTGGACCCCAGGGCCGCTGAGATGGGCTTCTCCCCCAGCATTGTCCCCCTGACCCCTGGCATGTCTGATTTGCCCATCGGTCACCTCTGCAGGCCCTCTGGTCCCCCAGACATCAAGGGCCCTGGCCCAAACCCAAGGACCCCCAAGCTCATGTCCTGTACGTCCTCTATCCTTCTCCAGACAGGTCCCTCCCATGCACGCTGGCCCTCAGCGTCCTGGCTCCAAACGCGGCCTCCTGGGGACCCGCTGGTCTTGTTGGGTCCACTTGAGACAGTGACAGCTCATCCCTGCAGCCTCTCCTGTAACCGGGAGCCCCCAGACAGGACCGTGCACGCATCTGTCCCAGGGTCTCCTGCATGGGAGGAGTTGGGTCGATTTCAACAAATCTCTGGGGAGTCCAGTCTGGCCCCACTTGGCCAGCAGCTGGGGCGGGGCTTCCGGGGCAGTCAGACCCCATCCCTTCTGCCTAAAGCCCCTCCCCAGGAGGCCAGAAGAGGCAGCCACGGGGCTGTGAACAGCCCGGCCCTTCCCTGGCAGGTCCCCTAACGTCCGTGAGGGGGTCACGTGGGAGCAGCTGGTCCAGCCCCTGAGCCCTGCAGCCCCCGCTGCCCTCGGCTTCCCCACAGGCTGGTCCGGCGGCCCGGGGTCCCAGCAGCCCGCTGACCTGCGTGAAGTCCCACAGCCGCTGCGCTGGCCGGGCCACGTCCTCACACTTCCTCAGGGCGGGCGTGCGGCCCCTGCCGTCATCCACCAGGCACTTGGAGTCGGGCAGGAAGGCGGTGGAGCCCAGGGGGCCCAGCTGCAGCAGGCCCTCGGCGCTGTACCGCACCAGCTGGGGAGAGGCGGAGCGGGCGGTGGGCCGGGGCTGGCCTCACAGGGGCCACCCGAGGCCCTGGAGGGAATAGGTGGGGCATCGCGGGCAGGCCCAGCCCGGTCAGGGGCCAGCCTTGCTGGGGAGGGGCCGGGCCCCAAGGAGCCCCCTCGGCCCCAGGGCGCCTGAGAGGCCGTGGGCGGGGAGCCCACAGGGGATGCCTTCCGGTGGCCCTGCGGCCCCAGCCCCCTTTCTTCCACAAATTCCCCCAGCGGGATGCTCTCGGACTCCTTCCCCGGAGCTCTGCTCGGACCCCTCCCTCCATGGGGCCCAGAGCCTCGGCCTCAGACGAGGAGGAATTCACACGTGCCCCGGGCCGCCCGTCTGCCCTCGAACCGGAGGCCGCCCCAAGTTCATGGTTCCAGGTCACGTCATTTGCCAAACACCAGCTAAGTAACGCCTGTGCACCCACGAGGAAACCAGTGCTCTAGATTCCTCCGCTCCCCGGCTGTGTGGTTTTGGGCGAGTCACGCCACCTCTCTGTGCCTCGGTTTCCTCATCTGTGAGCGGGAGATGATGACAGTGCCGGCCGGGCAGGGCCACCGTGGGGAACCCACAGGCGTGTGGAGTGCAGGCTGAGCACAGCAGGTGCCGGGGTCGGTCAAGTGCTTCTCTCCTCTCCTTTCTCGCGTTTTCTCTCCCAGAAGAGTGGGCGCTCGCGCGCCCTCTGCTGTGTTTCCAGTACAAACTGGTGGCGCAGCACCTCCCCTGCATGTTCGCGCGGCCCTGCGACTCTGCCACCCCCGCTTAGCATGGGGCCCACGTTCTCTCCTGCGTCCTCCTGGGGGCGGGGCGTAAACGCGCGTGGCACCTCCCACGTCTCCAGGGCGAGGAGGCCTGAGCAGCAGGGGGAGGCCGTGTGCGGAGGGGCCGAGGCCCCGGAGCGGCAGCTCACGGCGGCTCAGACGTGGCCTCACCAGCCTGCCGGGTGGCCTGGGCAGTGCCGTGCAGAGGGGGTCCTGCTGCAGATCTGTGAGTAAAATAAAGACTGTGGTCCTTGCGGGCCATTCTGCCTGGGGACAGGTGGTCACAGATATGCTCGTGTCCCTTCTCTGTAAACTTTCTGAAGCCACGGAGATTTGAATATGGGGTCCGCAGCCCCTGAAATGTCCAGCACAAGCTCCCAGCCGGAGCCCCTGCCACCTGTAGCTTCAGCCTTGGAGGTAAGGCCTGGCGGAGCTCGGAAGCGGGAGCCTCAGTGCCGGGGAGCCAGCACGGCCCGTGCTCAGGGAGGTCTGTCCCAGACGCCGAGCGGGGCAGCGAGCCGGGCTGGGAAGGGCTTCGGTGACCACAGGCGTTGCCGCTGGCTTGTGGGGAAGCCGTGTGCTTTTAGAGATGCGTTCTGAAATACTCTGAGGTGAAAGGACCTGACGCCTGCAACGTGCTTTAAAATGACTCAGAAAAAAATAAATGATGCAAATACGGCCCGATCTGAACACCATTGTATCAGGATCGGGTGGAGAACCGTGTCTGTGAGGGGCAGGGACAAGCATGTGTGCTTCACGGTTACTGCTGCACGTGTTTTCCCTTCTTTTCCCTCCATAAACCTGTAAAAAGGTAAAAACTTTTCTTTGGCCGGCGGGCTGCTCTTTGCCGACCCCATGAGTGTGTGGTTGGTCATCTGAAGACTTTTCTACTTTTCTGGAAGCTTGAAAGTGGTCAGAATAAAACCTGACAGGTTAAAGGAAGGGCCTCCTAACGACCCCCAGGCTATGTCGAGTCCAGCCCAGGAGGGGTCCCATGCCCACACGGGGGTGGACGCGCCTGCCCCGTGTCCCTCTCACTCACACTGGTCAGGCCAGCGCAGTGGCCAGAGGACAGAGGGCTGGGCCCCATCGTGAGGGGTCCATGCACCGGTCTGTGTCTGCTCCCTGAAGACTGTTTACTAACCATCTGTACGTGTGCAGATTTTGGTCCGAGACTGGCTTTCTTTATGTTGTAGGCTGAACTGCTTCCCCCCAGAAGTCATGTTGAAGTCCTAACTGGCACCTGTGAATGTGACCTTATCTGGAAATAGGATCGTTGCAGAAGTGCTCAAGGTAAGATGAGGTCATACTGGGTCAGGGCGGCCCTAATCCAACATGACTGGTATCCTGATAAGCAGAGAAAACAGAGACACAAGGAGAAGGCAGGGTGAAGACTCAGCCACAGGCCCGCCCAGGCCACGCGATGACGGAGGCAGAGCCTGGAGGGATGCGGCCACCAGACAAGAGCTGTGGGACCACCGGGGCGGGAAGGGTGGGCCTAGAGCCTCAGGAGGGAGCACAGCCCTGCCCAGGCCGTGATTTCAGATTTCTGGTCTCCAGGGCTGAGAGAATAAACGCCTGTCATTTACACCGGTTCCCAGTTGGCCCCAGGACACTAACACAGCCAGGGATCGGGGTTTGGGGATGTAGCTTGTCCCCGTGAACACCTCAGCAGCCTCCACTGAGACCACACCGACTGAAGTCATTTGCAAAGGAGACACCACCACGGGCGTGTCCGGCCTGGTGGGCACATGGGTCCATCCGACCTCTCCGTGGGGCGCGGTCCCGTGGACTGGCCTCCCCGTCCACCTGTGTCCACATCCACCCTGGTTCCAGCAGCGAGGCCGCTTCTGCCGGCCGCCCCAGGGTCCACTCGCAGGTGGAGGGGGGCGCTCCCCCAGGCGTCACGCGGCGTCCTTGGAACACCCACACCTCACTCAGCCACGCGATTCGCTGCCCCAGACACCTCCGAGGCTGGCCCCACGCTGCCTCGCTCCACAGCAGGGCTCGCTGGGAAAGGACCACCGTCTACCCAGCCACCTGGAGTCGAAGAGGAGCAGGGTGTGTCCGGCGACGCCCCACAGACGTGGCCTCTCACCTCAGGTCTGTACCGGCCAGAGGATTCCCCTCCTGCAGCTGAGGGCCCAGCAAACTGGATTTCTCCCGGGAGGCCACGTTTGCACCTCGAAGGGTGATTCTGCTTCGCTCTCTTAAGGCAAGGCCATGTGCCAGCAGGGGTCCTGTGAAGAGGCTGCAGGGGTGCCAGGGGAGCACAGTCTTCTCTGTCGCCACAGGCTTGGCACCTCCCACCCGCGATGGACCCCCGCGCAGCTGTGTCAGCACCCGTGGATGTCCCAGAGCGGGAGCAGGTTCAGAGAGCTTCAAGGGGGCCGAGTGTCATTTCGGGGGTTAATTTAAATCCCACCCACTGAGAAGAAGCATTGTCACTGCAAGCAGAAGGCGGGTCCGCTTGGGATTGGAAACATCAGGCTGCATCGGGGTCCAGCACAGCAGCACCGCCACCTCTGGAAACACACCTGCCTGGGGTCTGGACACCCGAGTGGCTGTCTTTAAAGCCCTCCAGCTGATAAGAACTGGTGGCTAATGTGAGGCTTCCTGGGTTACGTCTACACTGTGGCTACCATTTACCCTCATTTTCCACTTCAGTCCACATGGCAGCCCTGAGAAATAGGTACCGTGATCATCCCCTCGATGAATAGGGAAACTGAGGCACGGGTGTCAGGTGATTCGCCCAGAGCAAAGCCGTTGCTCTTAATTTACCCAGGGCCTGAGCTCACAGCCAGCGGCATCAGAATGCCCCGGCAGGCCTGCCTCTGCCCCCCGGGAGCCACCTCCACCTGTGTTTGGGGCTGTGTCCCTCAGGAACGTCTCCGCCACCCCTACCTGGGAGGACATCCCGTGGCAGGGGTACAGGATGGCACGGTCATCGTCTTCTGCCCCCTGGTCCAAGCAGTAGCCGCTGGCTTTGCTGTTTCTCACCTACGACCAGAAATCAAAGGAGAGGCCCCGTCACAAGGGTGCTAAGTGCAGAGGCAGGCCAGAGGGGGCTTTACCGACCTGTCCCCTGCCCAGGACCTGTGGTCGCAGGAAGGGGTGGCCCTCCTGGGGTAAGAGGAGGGACGGGGGAGGGGGGAGGAAAGGAAGTGGGAGGGCGAGAAGGGGAGGGGGAGGGGGGAGAGGAGGGGAAAGGGGGAGGGGGAGAAGGGAGGGGGGAGGGCGAGAAGAGGGAGGGGGAGGAGGGCAAGGAGGGGAAAGGTGGGGGGGAGGAGGGAGGGGACAGTGCCCTGGCCGGTGGGCTGGCTGCGGAGGGACTGGCTGGGCTCCTCGGAAGGGATGACCAGGCCTGGCTCTGGGGGCGATGTGGACCGACGTGCTGTGCGTGCGTGCGCGTGTGGACCCGGCCACCCTCCCCAGGTGAAGCTCACCACAGAAGCAGTAGCCTCGGAAAACAGCGAGGAGGGCCTGGCTGGCTCCCAGGAACAGCCTGCCCACACTCACGCCTTTTGCCGCGTGACTGCAGCTCGTCCCCTCACCGGGGGTCGGGGGGCTACTCCCACAGCCCCCGAGTCTGGTCTGGCCTGGAGGCTTGCTCAGCCAATAGACGCAACGGAGATGGCTGTGTGCAGCTCTGAGCCGCAGGACACCTGCAGCCCCCGCTCTGCCTTGACCCCTGACTCTACCCTGAGAACAAGCCAGCTGCCCGCTGGGGGTGACAGACATGTCACCTGCGCCCCAGTGCCCTGTTGACAGCCAGCCATCCTCCAGGTGTGCGGGTGAGCCTGTCCCCAGAGACCTGATGTCAGACTGGCCGAGGTCGGGGCTGCCCGGATGACCCCTAGACTTGCGAGCAGGCACAGGGGCGCTGCCCGAACCCTCTGTGCTCTGGGGATGTTTGTTTGGCAGCACTGACTCACTGACACAGCACTCCCACCCCAACCTTGTCAGCTGGCAAAGTCCCTAACGTTACGGCTTCTGTGGGCGGGCGCTGCATGAATTCAACTCATCATGGTCAGGAGCCGCAGGGCAGCCTGGGAGGGGCTGGGAGGACAGTGGCCTCCCGCCCACGCTGCTGACGTGCATCCGTGGAGCTCCCTGTCACGTGGGAAACCTCTGTGTCCAGAGGAGCGGGGTGTACCAGGAGCTCCAGGAACAGACGGGCCTCCTGGGATTATCCCCCGCCCCAGTATCACTTCTGCTTGGCCCACCTAAGTTCATGCATTCCTTCGCCTTGGGGAGCCTGGGTCCCCGTGGAGGAGCTGAGGCCTGGGGTAGGGGGAGGCCTGTCCCCCAGCACAGACCAGGACGAGTGGGCAGGAACGCGGTGCCCTCCCCCGGCTTTAAGGAGAGGTGTGCGTGGCCGTGCACGTGGGGGCCGGTGCAGACACGTGGGTCTTCCACAGCTGGTGCCTGTACGGGTGTGAGTCTGTGTGTCCTGTCGTGCACTCGCATGCAGGCATTGTGGCACACAGACACGCTGTGTGTGTGAACGCATCCGTGTGCAGGGCTCTGCGCATATGTGCTTATGTGTTCACGTGTCATTTTGTCTCAGTAACAAGTATTTGCACCGTGCAGGGCAGGCAGCTTGGGTGGGGTCTGCATACACAGGTGAAGATGTACAGGTAGCTTTCTGTGTGTCTGTGAGCAAAACAGTGCAAATGTACACTTGTGTCTGTGTGCGCTTACACCCACATGCATGTGTGCACGGATCAATGCATGTGCATGAGGGCATGTATAAACACACGTGTGCGACACAGATACGTATGCACACACGTGTGTCTGAATCTGCTTTGTGTACCTCGGTATGCAGGCACGAGTGTGTGTCCCTGCGGCTCTTACACTGGTGTGAGTGTGCCCGTGCGCTCTGCTGGCTGCTGTCCGTGCGCGTGCGCCCGGGGACAGGCCAGGATGCCGGGAGGCGGGGCGCGGCGCGGGTGCAGGGCACAGCCATGCCGCGGAGGCGGTACCTCTCCGTACGTGAGCGTGTCGTTGTAGGTCCTCATCTCCGGGTACACGTTGTCCAGGTACCACTTGAAGCTGCGGCACTTCAGCCTCCGGCGCAGGGCCAGCCGCTCGGACACGTCCCCAAAGTCCACGCCGGGGTTCTGCGAAGCCGGAAGCGAGGCGGGACGGGTGCTGCGGTGTGCAGAGCCCGCACCAGCCAGGCCTCTGCCCGGGGGGTTGGGGAGCCCCAGGCCCCCCATCACAGGAGCGTGCCCGCGCTCAGGGCTTCCCGGCCCTGAGCCTCGTCTGGGGGCCTTCTGCCCTCCCAGGCTCCTGGAAGGTCCAGGGCAGCGGGGCCGATGGGAAAGGCCTGGCATCTCCGGCCTGTTTGCAGCAGGACCAGCTGGAGAGCGGCCGGCCTAGACAGACAGCCACCGGCGGTGTGTGTGGACCAGCTCGTAACACCCTGCACCCGCCGAAGGAAAGACCTGCCCTCAGCCAGCTCCCGGGAGGTGACTTCAAACATCCCGAGTATTGTTTACGGGGGCCAGGCCAGGTCGTCTGTGCTCCAGGGTGATCTACGGGGGTCGCCGTGGGGCATCAGCTTGACCTCTGCAGGGGCCGGAGACCAAGGCCGGGCACGTGAGCCCCCGTAAATTCTGGAGGCCGAGGCTCGGGTGCACTTCCCGGGTTGGTGATACGCTGTACGTATTGTCACACATTGCAGCTGGGAGAATTAAGCGCAATTTCTGTGACTCCCCGGGAGTCATATCCTTTCATTATAATAAACCACAGCCCCCACGTAACAGCTTTTCTGAGTTCTGAGTCCTTGTCGCCAAACACTGAACCTGAGGGTGGTCCTGGGGGCCCCGACACTCTGTGACAGGTTGGGGACGTGGGTGGGTTTGAGAAAGCCCCTCCCCAAGCCCAGGTCCCCGAGGCTCTGATACCAGCTAAGGAAGGACCGTGGGCCTGGTGTGAAGGGCAGACCCTGGGCTGGACGCGGGAGCAAATGACCCTGGGAGCCCTCCACCTACAAGGCGGCATCACCCAGACATGGGGCCGCGAATCCGACTCGGTTCAGGAGGTTGCAGTGAAGATGTCTAAAATACCAGGACGCTTTGCACATAATGAAGATAATGTCTCTTAACTTTTTTGTTATATACACGAAGCTCTATCTGCTGACGGCTAGAAACCCATGCACACGCCTGCCTGTGTGTGTGTGTCCTAATAAAAGATCAAGCTCCATGCACACGCGTGCCTATGTGTGTGTGTCCTAATCCATGCACACGCGTGCCTGTGTGTGTCCTAATAAAAGGTCAAGCTCCTTCTGCGGGTGGGTGCTCCCAGGATGAGTCTACCCCAGAGACGCGAATCCTCCCGTGTCCAGGGGAGCAGAAGTGCGTGGGGCTGGGCCTGCCGCCAGTGGGGGTGAGCGGAACGGGCAGCCTGTCCTCTGCACTCCCATGCACACAGTGCACACACACGTGTACGCCCAAGCCCCTTCTCCGGGCTGCCCTGCCCCCCAGGCCCTGGTTAGGACCCTCTGGCTCACATCCAGATGCTTCTTCCCGCCGGCCACAGGCAGACCCCTCGAACAGACCCCTCCTGCCCCTGCGCCCTGCAGGGCAGGCGGATCTGGCTGCAGACATCACACGTGGGAGAAGCCGCCACCCCCACAGCAGGCGGGCCCTGAGAGCCTCGTGACAGGGTCCCGCGGGGGACCGAGTTACGTTCCAGCTCTGCCTCTTTTCAGCCGCGCACCCTCGTGTGCCTCAGTTTCCCAATCTGCCGTGTGGAAGTGATGGGGTCATCATTACGGTCATCGCATCACCGTGGCCTCGTGCAGAACTACGGGGAGAGGCTTCTGCGTGGCAAGGGGTATGCTATGTGTCCCAGGAGGGGCTGTGGTCACCCTGGGGCAGCTCTCAGCGCAGCAGCGACTGTGACCCCGCAGTGCCACGTCTGCGGCCGCTCGGGGGCTCACACCATGGAGGGAAGGAGCTCTCGGGGCGGGAGGGAGGCATGCCAACCAGCGTCACAGCTGCTGGAAACGGGCTCTGCTTGGTGAAGGTCATGACGTCCCTGAGCCTCACCCTGGCTGAGCTGTCCAGGAGGCCCCACCTCGCGTGGCCGGGCTGTGCATTGGATGACCACTGAGGCTGTCCCCGGGGGCAGCCCCGCCCCCAGCCCTCCCCCTCACCACCCGGTCCACCAGCTTACGCTCATGGGGATGTTCCAGGCCATGTACACGTGGGACTTGAAGCTGTCCATCCACACCTCGGCCGCCCGCAGGGCGTTGCGCTTTGCGTAGTAGTCAATGTCGTTGTTGTAGGGCTTCTTGGTACGCTCGATGTGGGCCACGCGGGAGCAGGGCAGAACCTCCATGCTGCCGCCGCACTGCCACACCTGTGGGGACCCGGGTCTGGATGGTGGGCCCGCCCCTCCCAGCAGCCACCGGGGCCAAGGGCACCCTCCTCCCTCTCCGCATCCCCTGTTCTCAGATCCCCGGGACAGGCCTTCCAGAGGGCAAGGAGGCCCGGCTGCCTGGGCCGTTCCAGCGGAAGATGCCAAAGAGAAGCCGTGGCTTTGGGTTAAGCCCACCAAAGCCTGGGGGCAAGGCTGCCTCCCCTTCTGGATTTCCCACCGAATTGCATTTCTCTTGCACGTCCCACGATCTAAACAATGGAGGGATTTTTTTCTGATATCCTGACAATTCATTATTATTCCTTTCCTATGGCCCCTGCCACCACTCAGTGTTTGCTCTGGGCCCAGAGCCTGGCCTGAGAGGGGTTACTTCCCACCAGCAGCTGTCCTCCCCCCGCAGCTGGAAGAACCAACCTACAGTCTAATTTTAAAAGAGCAGCTTGCGGGACTTCCCTGGTGGTGCAGTGGATAAGAATCCGCCTGCCAACGCAGGGGACACGAGTTCGAGCCCTGGTCCGGGAAGATCCCACATGCCGCGGAGAAACTAAGCCTGTGCACAACAACTACTAAGCCTTCGCGCCACAACTACTGAGGCTGTGCTCTAGAGCCCATGAGCCACAACTACTGAGCCTGTGTTCTAGAGTCTGCGCACCACAACTACTGAGCCCGCGTGCCACAACTACTGAAGCTCGTGTGCCTAGAGCCTGTGCTCCACAACAAGGGAAGCCACCGCAATGAGAAGCCTGAGCACCGCAATGAAGAGTAGCCCCCGCTCGCTGCAACTAGAGAAGAGAGCCCCTGTGCAGCAATGAAGACCCAATGCAGCCAAAAATAAAATAAATAAAGTTATATTTTAAAAAAAGAGCAGCTTGCTATGCAAACAGTGCTTCAAGCACCCCAGACACAGTCTCAGTCTAAAGGAAAAGTCTAAACAAACAGCTGTTTCTTCTGCAAATAAGGCTCCCCAAAGCCCCTAAGCGCTAGGACCCTCACTTGCGATAGAAATGTTGTCGCATCAGGAGCTCCTTTCATGCCTGCTTGCTTCTGCACTGCCTCACCCGACACAACTTAGCCTCACTAGACACGGGTCGTGTTCGTCTGTTCTACTCTACCCCAGCCTATGCGAGCCTACCTGTGCCATGAGGCGCCCAGATACTTGGTTCACACGGCTCTGGGTGTGTCCAGGTGAGATGAACACAAGTTGGTGGGCTGAGTAAAGCAGATTGCCCTCCTCAGTGTGGGTGGGCCCCAACCAATCAGTTGAAGGCCTGCACAGAACAGAAAGGCTGAGGGAGGGACAGTTCACTCTTGGCCTGACGGTCATCGAGCTGGGCTGCTGGCCTTCTGCCTTCAGACTTGGTCTGGAACCCACACCCTCAGCTCTCCTGGGCCTCCAGCTAGCCAACTGCAGGTCTTGGACTTCTGAGCCTCCGTAACTGTGTGGGCCAATTCCTTATCATCTCTGGATAACCCAGACTAATGTCCTACCCTATCTTATCCCACCCTACCCCATCCCACTGAAAAAATGCAGTGCAACCCACCAGGTCGACTTCACCATGAACAACTCAGTCTGATCAACTTGGCCCAAGCTCTCTTCGGTCAGATTCTTACCCCTAAGCCTCTTCTAATTCAGACATTTTGGAAATGCCAGGCATGTGCTTACTCGCCTCATCTCACTCAACCCACCATGACCCAGGAAGGACGGGTACCACAGGCAATGTTCTCCTCACTGTACAGAAGAAGATACCGAGGGTCAGAGAGGTTAAGTCAGTCACACGAGCTCACAGGACCTGACCAGGCCTGACTGATCCCACAGCCTCTTAATGTCAATGCTGTGCTGGTCATACCTCCCCCACACGGCCACTGTCTTCTGGAAACTGCTGTATTTTATAGTTGAAATATAACATCAGTTCACAAACGTTTGTCCATGCAGCCACACTTGAAAGTTGTCATTTCTTTCTTTTTTTTTTTTTTTTTTTTTTTTT